TTTTGATTCCAGGAGAGACAGGTGATCACATGTTCATGACAAGGGACAGAAAGTACACCTAACTACAGACCTTCCTTTGAATGGACCACTTGCCTGGCTCCAGATAACAACTCCAGAACCTTTCCCAGAACAAGTACTGAGATAAAACCTGACTGAACTGTCTAGCATACCTTTTGTCCCCTGCCCCCTGTTCTTCTATTTAAACCTGTAACTCATGCCTGTACCCTGAAGATGACTGAAGAAGAGCTGAGTGCTTACTCTGCATCTTCTCACAGCATGTCCTGAGCTGTGTAAACAAATCTCCTTTCTCCGCCTTAAAATAAAAAGAAATAGAAATGATAAATTGGGGGCAAATATAAGCAAATGCTGACTATAAAATAGTAATAATAATGCCTGATAATGGTGTAAAATATACAGAGAGATTACAGTATATAATAACATGTAGGTCTAGGAAGGACCAAATGGAGTTTGTCAAAAGACAAAATTATAACAATTTAAAAATCTTCATTGGTTTTATTTCATTGCATAAAATAGAGTAAGTCCACTGGCAAGTGGATGAGGTTGGTGGTATAAACAGAGAAGGGCAAGAGAACGCAGAAACAAAGACCAAAAAGGGAACTGGTTACTTTCAAAGTCACTTTCCTTGCAAGGTGGTAACAGGAAGACTTCTTTACCAAGGACATTTTTAAGTGAAACTAGCCTGCTGTGTTTATTATTTGTTTTCATTGTCAGTATGTCTTCGTGAAGACTTCAGTGGCTACCAGGACCGTCAATGGCACTGCCTTGATTTGCGCAAAGGCACCTGGAGTTTTGCTCACCATTGCATTTGCCTTATCAGTGCAGATGTCAGCACTGTGAACAGGGAATATAATAGCTTAGAATTATTATGGAAATAGTTTTGACCTTGCAGGCACCTTGAAAGAGTCTTGAGACTTTCTGGGACCTGTGGACCACACATTGAAAAATGGCTGCTCTACAGTTTCCTAGGAGTGGAATTGCTAAATCAGAGGGAATGTGCATTTCTTCAACTTTATAGATAATTCCAACTAAATTTCCAAAATGGATCATTTATATTCCCGTAATCAGTGCATAGGGTTTCCATCACTCCATACCTTCCACAACATTTCAGCATCTCAAGAAGGAACAGTGCATAATGAAACATGTCCATATCTGAAAAATCTGTACAAATCAATAAACTAATATTTTGCAAGTGACAACCATGGGTTTCAAATCATGAATAGGTGAAAGACTTATTATTCAAAGCACAAAATCAACCAATAGATTTTAATGCAATAGCGCTCAAAGAATTCACTGAATAGTTTCAGATTTTACAATACAACTAGCCTTTAAGAGACTCCCACTTGCTGAGTTTTGGTATGGCATCAAAGGCACCACTACTCTGATCTGTTTCTATGCATACCACCTCTGACACCAAGTGTGTGGATTTTCCACACCAAGCAATTCTCCAATTCTCTGCCAACAGTTGGATGTACTACAGTTCAATTCAAACCTGACACTAATTATAGAGGGACCACAGGTCCATAGGTTAGGACTGCTCCCATTTTGGATGGCAATCACAAGAATGTATCCTCAAGTTTTCCACACTTCTGTTCTGCCTTAGTGTGAAATAATGGGTTCTAAGCACAATTTATGGAATTTAATTGAAATAAAAATTAATTTTTGTCTTTATATTTTGTTAGTAGAATTTTTTTCAGTCAATTTTCCAATTTAAAGTATCTTTCCAATTTCAAGTACAGTTACCCATCCAACTATAATCCAACTATTCATCCAACCATCTATCCATCCATCTACCCATCCATTTATCCATCCATCCATCCATCCATCCATGCATCCATCCATCCATCATCCCTTCATTCATTGGGTTTGTGTATAAAGGAGAATAAAGAAATTTTCAAGTGCTAAAAACAACTTGGGTTCAAACAGTCCCTCTTTTGTTTAGTAGTTTGCTGTAATGGTTCACAGAAACACTTTACTTGCCATTGCCTGTCTGCTACAAAAGGTATTATAAACAATACCTGAAGAAGAGTTACTCAGTGTGAGGTCCAGAAGGATCCCAAGCAAGGGAACTTCTATTCCTCTGGACTTTGGGGTGTGCCACCATCCTGACGTCTGGATGCACTTGTCATCTCAGAAGTTCTCCGAACTCTTTCACTTAGGATCTTAGTGGACATTCTATTAAGCAGGCAAAATTGATGCAATTATTGGCCACTGGAGATGAGCTCCATCTCCAGTCCCTCTCCCCTCCATGGTGATCAGAGAGTGAAGCTGAAGTATCCATTTCCCCTGGCAACCAGTCCCCATCCTGAAACTATCTAGAGGATCCCAAGAGCTCCTCATTAGCATAAACTCAAGTCTGGTTGAAAGGGACTTACTATAAATAAGGAAAGATGCATCCCTCACCTTTACAGATCAGGAAGTTACAAGGATTTTATAAGCTCTGTACCAGGAACTGGAGATGTAGATTGAATATATACATTTTTGTTGTATCACAATATCACGCCAGAACACCCAGAGTAAGCTGCAAAGGCTATTTAAATACTTTTCTCTTTCCGAACTACAGATGTATATGCAACTGGGTTTTCTCTTTCAAACAAAACAACATATCACAACAGATTGGATATAGAAGGAGATGCCAGACTCCAAGTATCTGTTATCAGTTCAGACATTAAATACATTTGCAAAGACCATAAAACAATGCTACTCTTATCACTATTTTTTTTGTTTTGGAAAATAGTTAATTTGCATTAATATTAATTATATTAAGATGCAATGAGTTTTTATCATTTTGAAATTAACAAATACATTTTAGATTTTTGTTTGAATTTCTAATATGGTAAATATTGATGGATATAATAAGTAGTATGATGGCAAACTTGTTCTCTGAAAAAAAAATTGTCTTTGGTAGCACACATGCTGTACCATTGAGCTACACCAGCCTAACATTAGTGTTTAGGAAGCAATTGTTATAAAAGTTAAGATAATGTTTTCCTTTTGGGGAGAAATGGGTTTTGAGTGGGAAGGGCATGTGAAGCACTCTTGGTGTGTTGACAATGTTTTTCTTCCTTGACCTACCTGATGACTTTGTGGGGTTTTCCTTCACCATAACTTATTCATCTATACATTTATTTTTAATTAAACTTTTCAGGTTTGTGTCCTATTTTACAACAAAAGGTTTTACAACTGGAATTATACAGCATTCACCACCCCACCACCACTCTTGAGCTTTAGCTGGAAGGATTTTCTTCTTCCTAGTTCCAGCCATGCCCAGACTTTGGCCATCCCCAAATAGAGGTTTGCTCTACTCATTGGTCTTCCCTGACACATGCTTAGTTTTGAGATCAAACCAATAGTTTCTTAAGATTCCTTTTATTTAAAGGTTATTGGAAAACACTTTTAGTTGGACTGGTAGAGTTGCTCAAGTGGTAAGAAGGCCTGCCTAGCAAGCATGAGGCCCTGAGTTCAAATCCCAGTGCTGCCAAAGAAAAGAGAAAAAGAAAACATGTTCAGTGAATTGCCTACAGAAATCCAATGTCTTCATTGGTGGCAGGCAAGACCACAGCACACAGGGCTCAGCTTCCTTAACCACATCCTCTATAGATCTCTTTCTAGCTTCCTTCCTTCCTTCTTTCCTTCTTTTCTCCCTCCCTCCCTCCCTCCCTCCCTCTGTCCTCCCCTCCCTCCTTCCTCCCTTTTTTCCTTGGTGCTGGAGATCAACCTCAGGCCTTAGACATACTAGCCATGAGCTCTATTGCTGAGCTACATTCCAGGCCCTAGGGCAGCCTTTCTGAAAAGCTGCAGAGCACTTCATTATATGAATGTACCACAATTTATTGAATCAGCCCTTGATTTTTTCCATAATGAATTAGCAAAATAATGGCCCCCAAGCTCAAGAGGATGGGGCCCAGGTCTAGTCACTAACGCATTGCACCCCACTCAGCATCCAAGACATAGGATGTGAAAGGATTGCAGAATGAATGAATGAAGTCTGACTGAGTATGCAGCAAGCACAAACGTAGGATTCTTCATGGAAGCTCCTTAGACAAAGTTACAGAGCAGCCGTGAATGGAATCCAGGAATTTAAGCTTGATTGAGGGTGGATTAAAGTCCCAGATGTCTCATGTGTTAGTTGCGAGATTTTAGACAGCTATTGAATCTCTCTTTGCCTCAGTGTCCTCATCTACATAATGGGTATAATTATGGAACCTGCCTCAAAAGGCTGCTTGTGGACAAAAGTCTCTCATTTATGGAGGCATGGCAGAAACAAAATACCAACAGCCAGGTGAAATGAGGAAGGAAGGACTGATCTCAGGAGACATAGGGACAGGCAAAATTCAAATCATGGTCAGAGAAGAGGCAACCAATCAGTAAGGTCCACAAAAGGGACACAGTCTATCAAAAGTGGCCTAACCTGAGATATCAAACCTATCCTTAACCCTGTGTTGGAGTACTATGGTCTTTCAATGGTGTCCTAAAAAATTTTTGCTTTTTCCTACTCTGTCTCAGGAAATTACCAACCCATGGCTCCCCAAGTCCATGAAGCTTCTGTAAGTCAATATTTACAAATGTCTTAGCCTTGTACACCAGCACTCTTAAGTAGAATTAGAATTCAGCTTGCCACAATTGTGAAAACCTATCAAGGGCAATGCCCATCTTGGGAAGCAACAGAGAAAACATGTCCTGCCACTACTGCTTTGTGGTGGAAGGTGGTGATTTATTTTTGTGGGGCCAATTTTGCTTCTGTGGAATCAGCTGTTCTCTTATGGACAGTATGTGTACCCAGAGTCTGTCACCATGGAGACAGTCAACAGTAGAGAACCTAAGAGCTCATCACTTTCCCTGGAGGGTGAAAGTGAGCTCTCTCAGGGCTTTTTTATTTCCTGAAGTTAGCAGAGTGTTTTCCACTACCCACTCAGAAGCTGGACAGATTAAAAAAAAAAAAAAAGAAAAAAGGAACCAAACTCAGGAACTCTGTCCTCACCATGTTTGCCACTGCAGTGAATCCACAGTCATTCTCTACTCCAGGCTGGCAGATCGAGAAGAACTATTCAACCAGGGTGCTCACGGGAAACTGGGTGGAAGAGAGGAAGAAGGTGAGGAGGAAGTGAGGGTGGACAAAGGGCTCAGAGGTCAAAGTTCATTGACCTCATTGGGTGTGTCTTAACGTGGTGTTGGGGTCTTTGTGCTCCACATGGGGGAGTTATGTTCAGTCTTCAAGGTTCCTGTTATACCTTGAAAAGACCGTAGCAGAGGTGTTACTGTGGTTGTGTTTCTCAGAACTGCTCTATTCTCAGTGGAGTGTTGCTAGGTATCTGGAAATTACCTTGTCTTCAGCTCCTTTCCTTTATTTGAAGAGTACCCACTTTCCCTGGCTGGTCCCTTCTCAGAACGTGACACTACCTGCATTCCTGCAGCTGCCCAGCACTGGCTCCACAATCTTGCCCAGCCTGTGTATTTCCATGTTTACTTTCCAAACAGAATTAATAAGTTCTTGGAGTTGCTTTAGAAGCCACTGGAAAGTATTTTCCTGAATGGGCCTACTTGAAAGTGAATACCCTCATTTGTGACCAGCAAGACTGAGCCACTTAAGCTTCTTGCAGAGGCATGTAGACATCCTCCTGTCTTCTTGGGAAACAGACAAGGAAAAGAGAATAAAACAGAATTGACAGCTTTGCTATGGGGGGAGTGGGGAAGGTTAATGGTGATTCCTGAAAAACAGAAAAACTGCCTTCCTGGAGAACATTAGCGTCCCCACTTCTCTGGCTGGACATGACATGTGGTCAATATTAACTTGGCCACATTGGGGAGCAGGTGTATGTAAGAGAAGCTCCAAGGGCAAGAAGGACTGGATGAGCGGTAAGTTCAGTTGCCTGTGGGTGAAAGTGGCCAAGAGACTATAGACCTGTAAATGTCTGGGGCAAGGAATATGTACAGGAATATAATAGATGATTTAAGCCCCAAAAGAAACAGAGCTAGAATCTTGTGGGAAACTAAGGCTTTTAAAATAATCGTGTATGTGTGTGGAATCCAAAATAGCACACATAGGCACAGTCAGATGTTTGCCAAGAAAAGGCTTGAGTCAGGTATGGTGGTGCGTACCTGTAAACTCAACACTTAAGAGGATGAAGCCGGACAATTGCAAGTTCAAGGCCAGACTGGGCTACCTGGTGAGATTCCATCTCAAAAAAAAAAAAGCCTGAGAATACTTTTAAACTTCATGATAAGTTGGCCCCAAGATTCAGAACATGACCTATTTGTTAGAAAAGGCCATCCCTGACACAGAGTCACTCTACACAGACTGGGAGAGTTGGAGGTTTTGTTGTTGTTGTCACTGTTGTTTTGTTTTGTTTTTCAAATGCCCAACTTTCAACAAAAAAAAATCACTAGACATAGCAAGAAATAGGAAAACATGGCCTAATCAAAGGAATAAAATAAGGTGGTAGGAAATTGTTCTGAAGAGACACAAGCATCAACCGGGCATGGTGGCACATGCCTGTAATCCCAGCACTTGAGAGGCAGGGACAGGAGGATGGAGAGTTTGAGGACAGCCTAGGCTACACAAAAAAACCGTGTCTTAAAAAAAAGAAAGCCACAAACTTCAAAGTCCTGGACAAAGACCTTTAAAAAAAATCTAGCCAGGGGCTGGTGGCTCACACCTATAATACTAGTTTGTGAGACTCTATCTCGAAAACACCCATCACCAAAAAAGACTGGTGGATTGGCTCAAGGTGTAGGCCCTGAATTCAAACCTCAGCAAGGGAAAAAATATCTGTCTTAGATATGCTCAAAGAACTAAAGGAAAGCACATACAAAAAACTAAATTAAGTCAAGAAAGCAGTGTTTGAACAAAATAATAATATATAAAAATTAAGATTATAAAAAGGAGCCAGGAACCAGTGGCTCACACCTAAAATCTTAGCTACTCAGGAGGCAGTGATCAGGAGGATCATGGTTCGAGGCCAGCCCAGACAAACAGACCAGACCCTATCTTGAAAATATCCAACACAAAAGGGACTGGTGGAGTGGCACAAGTGGTAGAGTGCCTGCCTAGCAAGTGTTGGGGCCTGAGTTCAAACCTCAGTTCCACCAAAGAAAAAAAGTTCATTAAAAGGAACCAAACAAATTCTAGAACTAAAAAATACAAATGTTAATTGAAAAATTCAACAGAGAGATTCCACAGCAGATTGGAAAAGGCAGAGGAAAGAACCAGCAGACTTGAAGACAGTGAACAGAGCCTAAGGGACTTATGCTAGGCCACCAAGTAGATCAATGTACACATTAAGGAATTCCAGAAAAAGGAGAGAGAGAAAGGAGTAAAGAGATTATCTGGAAAAATAATGACTGAAAAATTTCCAAATTTGAATAAATACATGGCTTATAAATCCAAGAAACTCAATGAACTCCAAGAAGGATAAATCTAAAGGATCCACATTTCAACCCACACTATAACCAAGAGAGATTCTTTAAAGTCCCAAGAGAAAAGTGGATTTTTCAGCAGAAACTTTGAAGGCTGAAAGACAATGGGATAACACATTTTAAAACCCTATAAAGCAGAAAAACTGTCAAATAGGAATTGTATGTCTTACAAAACTGTCTTTTAAAAGTGAGACTGGAGGCATGGCTTAAGTGTTGGAGTGCCTGTTTTGCAAGCCCAAAGCCCTGATTTAAGTCCTAGTCCCACAAAAAAATGAGGAAGAAATGAAGATATTTCTAGATAAACCAAAGCTGAGGGAGTTCATCACTGACAGACCGGCCTTACGAGAGCTGCTAAACAGAATCATTCAGGTCGAAATGAAAGGGCATCAAGTAGCAACAAAAAGCCATAAAAAAATACAAAGTTCTCTAGTAAAAGTAGAGACATGGGCAAATATAAAGCCAGTATTGTTGCAATTTTAATTCGAAACTCTACTCTTTATTTCACAGAATTCAGGAGACAAATACATAAAAATTATAAAGCTATGCAAATGAACACACAATATAAAGGTGAAATTTGTACATCAGTAAAATAAAGAAGGAGGGAAGAGCTATAAAGGAGTTTTATCCGGGAATGGTGGTGCACACATGCAATCCCAGCATTTGGGAGGCTGATGCAGGAGGATCGTGCACTCAGAGTCAGCCTGGTCTATACAGTGAAACCCTGTCACAACAATCCTCCTCCCGCCACAAAAAGAAGTAGAGCTTCAGAATGCAATGTAAGTGAAGTTGTTATTAATTTAGAATTGATTGTTATAACTTTAATATGCTATATGTAATCTCCATGGTAACCACAGAGGAAATATTGATATAATATGCACAAAAGGAACTAAAAAGGGAATTAAAATGTGTTAGGAAAAAAAGTCAACCATGCTGGGTATGATGGTGCATGCCTGTCATCCCAGCACTAGGGGAAATTGAGGCAGGAGGATTACAAATTCGGGGCCAGCCTGGGCTACACAGCAAGAACCTGTCTCAAAAACAAAAAGTAAAATAAAAAACAAGGTCAAACTATGTGCTATCTGCAAGAGATTGACTTTAGATGTGAGAATACATACAGACTGAAAGAGAAAGTATAGTAAAAGATAGTCTGGACAGGCAGTAGTAGCCAAAAGGGAGCAAGATGGTTATCCTGGTATCAGGCAAAAGAGACCTTAAATTTTAGGTTAAAAACTGCTATGAGGCAAAGAAGAACATAATGTATTAATAAGGTCAATTCACCAAGAAGATACAGTAAATTTAAGTATACATGCCCAAATATCAAAGTTCAAAATTATATGAAGCAAAATGAACAGGTTTGACGGGAGAAATAGAGGTCTGCACAGTACCTCAGCATGCTAAACTCCACACTGGGTGGATCGCTGGACAGAAGACCAATAGAGACATAGAGAACTTGAACCACACCACGGACACCTTGTCCTAACAAGTTCATACGGACTTCCCCAGAGCAGAATCTTCTCAATTGTATATAAGACGTTCCCAGGATCAACCATATTTTAGGTCACAAAACAAGTCTTGATAACTTTCAAATCCTGGAAACCATACAAAGAATCTTTTTGTCCATCCCAAATGGAATGGACTCAGAAATCAACAGCAGAAGAAAGACTGGAAAGTCCACAAATTTGTGGAAACTAAACATCTAAAACCAGTGGGTCAAGGCCAGGCATTGTGGTTCATACCTGTAATCACAGAAAGTCAGGGGAGCTGGAGGTCAGGAGGATCGTGGTTGGAGAGCAGATCAGGCAAAAAATTTGCAAGACTTCATCTCAGCCAGTGGTTGGGGGGAGTGGGAGTGGTATGCAACTGTCATTCCATCTGAATAAGAGGAGTGCGGTCCAGGTTGGCCCACACATAAAGTGAGACCCATCTCAAAAATAACCAAAACAAAAAGGGTCAGGCACCTGCCTAGTGAGCATGAGCCCCTGAGTTCAAACCAAGTACTGAAAAAAAAAAAAAGGTGGGAGGGGGAAGTAAAAACAAGAAATCACAGAATAATTAGGGGAAAAATTCTTGAGGCAAATGATAGTCAAAATGCAATACACCAAGACTTATTAGATGCAGTGAAAGTAGTCATAAGAGGGACTTTACTGCTGCAAATGTAATAAAAAAGAAGAAACATCTCAAATCAACAACCTAACTTTACCCCTGCAGGGACCAGGAATAAAAGAACAAACTAGAAACAAAGCTAGTAGAAGGAAAGAAATAATAAAGATTAGGGAAGAAATAAAATGATTAGAGAAAATGATGGCATCAAGAGTTGGCTCTTTGAGAACATCAGCACAATTCACAAACTGATAGCTAGACTGACAAAAAAAAAGAAAAGATGGCTCGAATAGTTAAAATAAAAAACGAAACTGAGAATCATTACCAACTTTTCTCAAATAAAAGGATTATAAGAAAGTTACATGAATGATTGTATGGAAACAAATTGGATAACCTAGAAGAAATTCCTAGAAATACACAATCCATGAAAACTGAATCATGAAGAGATAGAAAATATGAATGGATGTATAATTTGTGGGAAGACTGAATTAGTAATCAAAAACTTCTTGACAGGATAAGGCTGTAGCTCAGGTGGTAGGGTGCCTCACTAGCAAGTGTGAAACCCTAAATTCAAACCCCAGTACCCCAAACACACAAACAAACAAAAACAAAAAAACCCAACTTCATGACAAAGAAATGCCTAGGATGGCCTCACTGGTAAGTTTTATCAAATATTTAAAAAAGAATTAGCACCGATACTTCTCAAACATTTCCCAAAAAAAGAAAGAGGAAATCCGTCCTAATTCATTTTATGATGCCAGTACTACTCTGACATCAGTGACATGACAAGAAAAGAAAACGATATAACAGCATCCCTTAAAAGGATTAGTGCAAACCCAGCATGGTGATGCAGGCTTATAATCCCAGCATTTGGGAAGCTCTGGCAGGATAGAGTTTGAGGCCAGCCTGGGCTACATAGTAAGCCCCTGTCTCAAAACAAAAAAAAATTAAACAGGGATTTACTATTTAATCCAGTAATTTCACTTCTGGATATATACTCAAAAGAATTAATAGCAGGGACTCAAACAAAAACCTATATATATATATGTTCAAAGCAACATTATCCACAGTAGCTGAAAGGTAGGCACAACCCAGGTACCAACTGATGGGTGAATGAATAAATGAAATAAATAAAACATGGTACATACACACAATGGAAGTTATTCAGCCTTTAAAAGGAAGGAAATTCTGATATATGCTACAACATGAATAATCTTGAAGACATTGTGCTAGGTGAAAAAAGGCAGACACAAGAGGACAAACATGGTGTGAGTCCACTCACCTGAGGTACCAACAACAGGCAAATTCACAGAAACGGAAAGTGGAATGGTGTTGTGGAGGGGGGGTGTTAGTGATTCGTGGGTTTAATTTTGGATGAAAAAGTTCTGGGATGGATGGTGGTGATGGTTGTGTAACAGCACAAGTATACTTACTGCCACTGAACTGTACATTAAAAATGGCTAAAATAAGCCAGGTGCTCGTGGCTCAGACCTATAATCCTGGCTGCTTGGAAGGCTGAGATTGGGAGGATTGCAGTTGGAGGCCATCCCCGGCAAACAGTTAGTGAGACCCCATCCTAACCAATGGCTATGCATGGTGAGGCACACCTGTCATCCCAAGGAGGCTGAGATGGAAAACATCATGTTCCAGCTGGCCTGGGCAAAAAACAAGACCCCATCTCAGAAATACCAGAGCAAAAAGGGCTGGAGGCGTGGGTCAAGTGATGGAGTACCTGCTTAGCAAGTGCAAAGTCCTGAATTTAAGCCCTAGTACTGCTAAACAAAAAGAAAGTGTAAAATTGCTGAGCATGGTGGTACATGCCTGTAATCTCAGCACCTGAGGCAGGAGGATTGTGAGACTGAAGCCAGAGAAACCCTGTCTGAAATAAATAAACTATAAAGGCTAAAAGTGTAAATATTTAATATCTTGCCATATTAAATTTTAACAAAACATATGATGAAAAGAGAAAGCAGAGTTGAGGAGAGGGAGGAACAGAAAAGAAAAAGAAAGGAAAGAAGTGAGGAGAGGGAAACATTGAGAGAAGGCGAGAAAAGAGACAGGTGTGGACCACGGTAAGGTGGCCAGGTGACTCTGTGGCAGCTTTGCAGGGGTGTGGTCAGCCCGCAGCATGGGGCATGCACCCTTCCTGTGTTGTGTGGGCATCCTGGGCTCCTGTTTACCTTTTCTCTGCCAATCTTCTGATGGCCCCAGAAGCCACAGGACCCAGCAGAAGTTTGAGCAGCAGCTTCTCAGAGGTCCTCCTGAATGTGTGGTCTTTTCCAGTTCACCAGAACCTTGGAGCAGACACCCCAGAGCACTTACCGAAAGGAGTACATCCCCTTCCTAGGCCACAGGCCAGACCAGATCTCCAGGTGGTATGGGAAGAGGAGAGCTGAGGTAAGAGATATTTAAGAACAGCTAAGAGCCTGCCAGCAGCCCCTCCAGGAGCAGTACCTCCTCAACCCCTGTGGATGCCTTCCGTCAGGTGACACTGGTCTCCCTGGACCACACTGGCATCCCTAGTTGCTGGCACTCTCAGACCATACTGGACTTCAAGCCACACTAATGCCCTGGGGTTCCTGACATTCTCTATTAGTGTGCCCTGAAGACAGAAATGCAAGTCACAAATAAAAAGAACCCATGGCCTAGGGCTCCCATCCCCCAAACCACCCATGTACAAAAGCCCTTAGCCAAATTCTCACACATTAGAGCGTTATGTAGTCTTTTAAAAACCTTTGGGCCTATTGCAAAATTTTAACCCAACATACAGTCTGGTTAAAATTAAGAAGCACCCTCCACCCTACTAAGCCCCAACAGGCACACACACACACACACACACACACACACGCACACGCACGCGCACGCACGCACGCACACGCACACACGCGCACACGCACGCACACACGCGCACACGCACACACGCGCACACGCACGCACACACGCGCACACGCACACACACGCGCACGCACACGCACACACAGAACCAGTGTTTGTGTGGATTCTGTGTGTGTGCCAGGGCTTTGGGTGCAACACTGCCCCCATGTGGCTGCTTTAACCGTCACTGCTCCTGCGTTTGGATTCCTCCTCCCAGGAAGCCTTCCTTCTCACTCTTCTTCCCTCTCAGGCAGATGCTGGGCCTGTTCTCCAGTTGAGAGTGAACAGTGGTGTCCTCCTTACTCAGGGAGGACCCTCTTCCCGACCCTTCCCCTGGACAGGTGTGTGAATCATGTTGTAAATTCATTTTTTGCTCTTCACATTTTAGGGACCTTGCTAGTCCTGGAGAGATGGCCTAGGACTGCTAATTCCTAGAGACAGTAAACAGCTTGTTTAGGAGTGTGTCATTCAATGCAAATGAAAGTCATACTCCCAGCCACCTCCTTATCTAACTCATACACCAGGCCAGTGTTCCTCTGCCCTAAATCACTCTACTGCCCTGTACCGGACAACTGGAGACCGCTCCTATAGCTCTGAGCCCTGTGAAGTTACTCAAAGTGTCCAGTCCTAATCTTGCTCAGGCGTGTCTGTCCTGCCTGTCCCATTCCTTCCCAGGGTAACCATATGAGGATTCAAGGGTCTGCTTCTGCCTCTTGACCAGCCCTGTACTGCTCCCTTGTGGACCTGCATGGCATTGCCCGCTCCTTTCCAAGGCAACTGTCTCTGTGCCTGTCACCTAACCATGACAGATCAAAACAAAACTCCACAAGTCCACAATCCAGACAGCAGGACCACCCAGGACCAAAAGGAACAGCAAGAAAATCCCGAAAATCCCTCCTGGCCACTCTCCTTTCCCTGCAGAGATGCCTCCCTCTGTCTGTGGGAAGCCCTCCAGCTCACTCACTGGCTGAGTTGGAAACACTCCTGGCCCCTACTGACACAGATCTTGGGAACCCTGCTTTGCGTCTGCACTCATCCCGCTTGTCTCCCTCTGGCATTGTGGTCTGACTTATTTATAGAACCACCACGAGAAGTCCGGGGTGCAACTTGTTTACCAACCATGGCAGTCAGACCTCCCCGTCTGCTTCAGACAAGAGGACAGACATGGAAATCCCTGTTATCCTCCACTGTAAATCAGCCCAGTTCCCCAGGATTCCCTTCCAGGACAGGAGCATTTTCTTAGGACAAGTACTGAGTCAGGCAGACATCCCAGAGTGAGGGGAACATGACTTTCTTCTCTCCATAAATAACTCACCAAAGAAATCACTCCCCTTGTTTCCAGCCGAGGGAGCTGTAAATCCTTCTCTAGGGAAGGCAATTTATGGAGCCTTCTCTGATTCTTCCCACAGTAACTGATTGAAATATAAGGTGCAAACGTCAGGCTGGTATCCAACAGCTTTCATTTGCCTTAGATACTGGCATTTGGGTGGATGAGACTTGAGACAAAAAGGGTGTAATTTCAGATCACAAGGGCTCATGGTGAGTGGTGTTGACTTTCCATTCTGCTGAGTGTCCTCACTTTAATTTTAATTTGCCACCATAGCTCATTCTAGGGATGAATGGACTTGGCATAGGCTAGGGACCAAGTTTATATAGAGAACTGCCTGTAGGTAACTAGGATGTGTCTTTGAACATGTACTGTGTGGCATAGGACAAACAACTGTGTGTCTAGTATGGTGCCCTTGGGGCTGGCTGCCAGCCCATGGAGACCTCCTCTCCCATGTACTCCTCTGTGGAGTACAGCTCCACAGAGGGCAGCTCCCACCTCCATCGATGGCCAGGTGGATACCTTGCTCTGATGGGTAATGTGTTCACTCTGTCTGTCCTTCCAGGGCCTCCCGTACAAACATCTGACCACCCACCACCAGGAGCCCTCACACCGCTACCTGATCAGTACCTATGATGATAATTATAACCGGCATAACTATAACCCAGGCTTGCCTGCCCTCCGCACCTGGAATAGACACAAGTTGCTGTGGCTGCCAGAGAAGACTGATTTTCCCCTGCTTGGTACTTCTATAACTCAGAAATTCCCCTGGGCTGGTCTGCAAGGTGTCCACAAATGCATAGGGCTAAGGTGCTTTTCTGTCAATCACAAGGACCCATGTGAGGAACTCTGGAAGTAAGATGAGACTCCAGAGGAGGGAGTCCTATGTTCTGCTCAGAGCTGCCACCTGCCCTCTCCCTTGACCTTGGAGATATTCTTGTAATGACCCCCCCTTACTTGTACACCATGGGACGTGTTTATGTAGAGCAGAAGTAGCAGGGAGCAACATATTGTATACTCTCTACCGGCATCCTGACTGAATGCTTCCCAGGTGTCATTCCTTGCAGTGCTAGCTGGGGACACAGTGGTGATGATCAGAGAGAATTTCTGCTCTCTGGGAGTTGACATTCCAGCAGAGACAACCCATTAATGAATAAGATAACTTAAGATGGAATAAATTAAATAATGTCAGAGGGAGTGTGTGTTGTAGGAGATAGATTAAAAAAGTAAGGAGGGGTATTTGTGCATCTCTCCACCATCTCCACCCTCTGCTTGCCTTGGTCCCTGGGAAAACCTGTGGGGGCCCACCACCCATTCTCATGGCCAATCTGTGCAAGACTCCTTGAAGACCCTGTGTCACCCAGACCTGCTTTGTCTTGCAGCTCCCCCTACAAACTATGGACTGTATGAGCAATTGCAGCTGGAATGGCTCACCCCTAAGACTGACGTAAAGGAGAGTATTTATGCTTCGTCCTACTCCAAACCACCATCGTGCGCTATGTCCAGGCGGGAGCATGCCGTCCCAGTCCCTCCCTACCGCCCACATCCGATCCCACGCTCCTGAGAACAGCCACCCCATCTGAACCAGAGGACAGCCACAGCATCATGGTCAGCAAGTGGCTGCAAATGAACCCAGAGCGTTAAATTAGCCAACTGGTGGGGCCCTCAGAATTGTGTATTCTGTGGTCCCCCTCTCCAAACCCGTTGGTTCCTTTCTTTTCTATTCCACTATTAAAGATTTTGACACTACTTCAGTGCTATGTGTATACAGAAGACAGATTTATGCCATCAGCAAAAGCCAGAAGGATCCTTCAGCTCTATTCCTTATTTCACAGGAGGGGAAAATGAGGCCCAGGGAAGGAAGGACTCCCTCCAGTTTTCATAACTGGGCATGACTCATCAAGGAGTGTCTGGTCCAATGAGAGAAACAGGTCTGACTCTGAGACCCATAATGAAAACCCCAGGGAACAGCAGATGAGGAGGCAGAGCCACGGGAACAGGTGGTGAGGGAGGAACCCGGGCATCATGTTTTCCTGAGGCTGGGGATGACCTGCCAGTTCAAAAGAAGCATCTCTCCTCCATCTCTGAGCTTTCAAATCTTTTGGGGGACTTGGAGAGGGGGAAGAGCCTTCTGGGAAGAGTTTGGAAATGATGGTGGATCTCTTGATAGAAGCATCTAGGTGCTGTTCTCACCCAGAGCAGCAGTCTACTGGTTATGGTGACCAGCCTCAGGCTGAGAATGGTACTTCCCTAACCTGTCCTCTTTGACTTCTGGAACCTACTAATCACAGCTCACTCTTTCAAAAGCCTTTCTCCGTATCATGCCCCACCCTAATTGCTCGCATCCACTACAGGCACAGTGCCTGGTATACAGTTGGTGGTTAACAATTACTGGCTGAGTGGGTGGATGACCTATTGTCTCTTTGGAGTCTCTTTGGAGATTCTTCCCTAGACCTTCACTCTACCCCACTCACTATGCCCCATTCTTGTTCACCACTTTGAGTCTCTGTCTTGCTGTGCCCCATAACCTCTGCTCCATGTGCACCTCATGTCCATTCTAACTGGCCAGTCTGGGTCCTTAAAGACTCCTTGTTCTTCCCACAGGCGCCTCCAGCTTCGGCCTCAGAGGGAAGTGTCTTCACTGGGTTCTAGATTCCTCCTGCCAGTTTCAAAAGGAATCATTTCTCTGTTTCTCCATCCTTAGCGTCTGCGTCCATCCTAGCAGTGCCAAAGCAACTCTAGTTCTGCCAGATCATATGCTATGTTTGGCCACAAAACACACAACAAATAAATAATAGTAATTTTTCTGTTTTGCAGAAACTATTCTTTTTTCTTTTTTTGCAAATAAAAAGTTAAATTTCAGAAACCAAGGTCACCGTTTCTAAGTACATTAAAGCATACTCTACACAAATTTTGATCAGCATTTTAACAAAACAACTTTTCTTTGAAAGATCATAGGCAAGTGAGTGACTTGTCTCACTCAGAATATTTAATCTGTTTGAAATGAGAAAACAAACCCTCTTTTAGATGTTAAAGCAAAAACTCTGAAGACACTGTTAAAAGAAACTGACAACCTGACAACTGCTATTTCATTCTGAAGTACTTCAGATTCTTCAACACTCCAGTGATGACTGAGTCTTCCCTATCAGAAAAAAGTCTAAATGGCCAGCTTCACAGCTGTGATGCAACAAATGCCTCTCCTGTTAATAAGCCCTCTTCTCTAAAAAGAATCTTCACTGTATTTGATCAAACTGGGGAGCAGAGCACACATAGCAGGATAGCTTTATAGCATAGATGCTAAATCAGAGGGTAGAGTCTCGACCAAGAGGCTGCCTTACAGAAACTATTTTTTCATGAAGTTTTTCCTTACATTTTTGGCACCTGCTACTGCATTCTAGCAAATGAAGAAGAAGAAGAAGAAAAGGAGGAGGAAGAGGAGGAGGAGGAGGAGGAGGACAGGGAAGAGGAGGAGGAAGGGGAGGAGGGGGAGTGTGTGTATATATATATATATTTATATACTTTTGTATTTATTGAGAGTTGAGCACACACTGAGCACAGGAGCAATGCACTGGATCTAGAGGGGATTGGGATCTCTTTGATTCACCACCAACCAGCCCCCCCAGACTGAGATTATTAGGGTATTACAGATGAGGAAATGGGCAAAGAAAGAGGGACTGAATGGCTGAGCTGGGATTTGAACACACTTGTGCACTGTAGGCTCTGGTCCTGTGCCTGTCCACTGTGTGCTTGGCTCTTGGGCAATGTTTTGGTAATGATTTTGTACGTCAGACAAATATGATTCAAAGTTTAGAAGGCTGGGTTTGTGTCATCCTATTCACAAGACATCTGCTAGCCTCAGGTCTTCTGCTCTAGGGTTGACTTAGCACCTACCCACTTCCTTCTTTATTCCTACAAGTGTTTGTTTAAGGATGCTGTTTTATTTCCTGACTGGAAGTTAGATAACTGGCACATAACAAGTGCTCAGGAAATGCTTGCTGAATGACTAAAGGAATTAATGACTGACTGACAGGAGGGAAAACCAGGAGATAGAAGATGGTTGTGTCAGAAGAGCCCCAGGAGACAGCTATGGAATGGACCAAAGACGGCCATCCTCACCTCTCTGATATTCACTCACTCATTCCACTGAGCCAAGACTGACTGAGTTCTGACTCACAAAGCAGCAGTCCAGTGGAAGAGGAACATTAAATAAATGCTGACAGGACAGAGAGGTATTGGGGACAGGTTTCTGGGACTGCAGACCGTGGGGGTCAGTGACGGAAAGAATGAGGGAGATCTTTGGGGGTATGCCAAAGTAAAGGGGTGCTGTGAGAGCCACAGTGGGGGCATGGAGACCTGACTTAGCCAGGTGGAGCTGGGGAAGGCTTCCCTGAAGAAAGAACAATTCAGGCTGAGGCCAGAAAGCTGGAGTGACAGGTGGAGAGGAAGAAGAGGCTTTCTCAGACCACATGTGTGAAGGCTCTGAGTTGGGAAGTTGATTGGCAGGTTGTAACAAGCCCAGCAAGATGGTGTATTAGTTTCTCTATGGCTGTTATAACAAAACACCACAACCCCAGTGCCTTAAAGCAATACACATCTATTCACTTACAGTTATGGAGGTCAGAAGTCTACAAGGTTTCTTCAGGACTGTCTTTCTTCCTGAGGGTCTCAGGGTGGATTCTTCCTTGCCTTCTCCAGCTGCCGGGGGCACCTGCATCATTTAGGTCATGGCCCCATCCCCAGCTCTACAGCTAACTGAGGAGTGTCTCCTTTCCCTCCGCCTCTCCTCACAAGGACCCCTATGTGGTCACATGGGCTCACTGGATACTCCAGGATAATCCTCCCTACCCAAGATCACATCTGCAAAATTCCTTTTGAATATAAACTCACTTATTCAAAAATTCTTGAGAAGAGGACGTGGACATTTTAAGAAGGACAATATGGGAGTTCTTTGCACTTGACCTCTGTCGTCCCCCACCACCCAGTTCCACTTTGTCCTTTCCATGCAGCTGAGATGGTCACAGAGCAATGGGAAGGGAATCAAATGGAGCCTGTGGACTATGGCTAACTACAGTCAGTACACACACACACACACACACACACACACACACACAGCTTAAACACTACAGAAACTAAAAGTACTTGAACAGGAGTATTAAATGTTCAAATGCCAAAGTGAGCCCTGTGACCAGATCAACACATTGGTGTGACCACCATAGCAGCTTGTCTGGGTGACCAGGCTGGAGGGTTTCCCTATCTCTTCCCCAGTGAGGGTCTTTTTCTTACACCCCGCTTTCATTCAACCAGCGATTCTCCACCTTGACCATTGTTAGAATACCCGGGTGGTGGGTAGGAGGGATTGTCAAATGTGAATCACAGGCCCAGTCTTTCGTCTCTGGATCAGTAGGTCTCAGGAAGGCAGAGAAGATGTTTTATTAACAAGTTCCCACACATGGGTACCATTCCACTTGACTGAGCTAGTCTATTTTTCCCTCTATTTAGATGGTTTCTTTGGAATAACAGACTCTGCAGTGAAAACACATAGTAAACATTAGGCCTAACATCCTCAAAGGCTTCCTCCAGCTGTAGCAGGAAGCTGTGACTCTACAATTTTATTATGAAGCATTAAAATGAGCAGGACATTGCTAGAGTGGGACAGTACTGGGTTACCATCAAGAGTCAGACAGGGCTGATAGAGTGGCTCAAATGGTAAAGCACCTGCTTTGCAAGCATAAGGCCCTGAGTTCAAGCCCTAGTACTGCCAAAAAAACCCAAAAAGAAAAAAACAAAAAAACAAGAGTCAGGCTACAATCCCAGGCTCACCACTTACAGCCTTGAAGGAGTTACTGACTCTCTGAATCTGTCTCTTCCTCTAATGAAAAACTCAGATCAAAATGCTGAGCCCCAAACTGGGTGCTTGTTAAACCCCTCAAAGTTGGTGGCTGCAATTGTTTGACACTCAAAGATTGGCAATAATTAAGAAGAGAGTTGAGGACACAGAAGCAACCCATATTTGAGGCCACATACTAGCCAGGCATGGTGACATCTTGACTGTAGAATCCAGCACTAGCAAATTCCTTGAGAGTCAAACATGGTGCTAGCTGTGGGTACCCCAGAACAAGCCTGCCCCTGGTGGCTCATTTGAAGCCAACTTACAGGCGATGTTGGTTTCAGACACAGGGTCTCTCTGATTGGCATCAACTCTGGAAAGCAGATGTGGAAATAATTCAAAGCCTGAATAATCCATCAATAATCTTCCACCAGTAATCTTCTATTTGTTCTTGAAAAGTGTGGGGTGTGCACTTGGGTAAACTGACATTGGGAGATTCCATTCGTGAATTCGAAGGCAAATCATAATAGCCCTCAAATCTTTTGAGGTTCCTGTCTCAGTCAGACAGGATCATACCAGGTATGTACCACCATGCTCCTGGGCCTCAGTTTCCTCACCTGAGAAATGAGGCATCTCAGAGGTCCCTGGAGATGGTGGAAGACTGGATCCCAGTTGCTCTTGAACCTGGGTAGTATTTTCTCCTAGACCTTAATTCCCACAGCCCTTGGTGAGGCACA